TGACCAATTGTGGGTTCGTCATAGCAAGCGAAGAGGACGTCGTCTCGCATGTCTCGAGGAACCACCAGGAGGTAGGCACAGTTGTCCGAACGAGCTTTCTTCTTGTACAGCACACCGTCTCGGAGGCAGAACGACGGCAACGAGTGGAATAAATGACGTGCTATGATTGTGCCCTGGCCCTCTAAATGATAGATGATCGGACGAATCTCTGCGTCCTCCCGCTGCCGTTTGCTCAAGTCTGATGAGCTAATGGCGCCCAGGAAGCCTTCGTCTTCCTCTGCTTCCTGACTGATGACATGAAGGGGTGCGCGTGACAGTGTGTCAGCGTCTTCATGCTTACGGCCGGACTTATGGACGATGGTGACATCAAATTCCTGCAGCCGCAAGCTCCACCATGCTAGCCGTCCTGAAGGGTCGCGCAGGCTTGCCAACCAACAGAGGGCGCGGTGGTCCGTCACTATCTTGAAGGGACGACCATAAAGGCACGGGCGAAACTTGGTGATTGCCCACATAACTGCGAGGCACTCTTTCTCCGTAGTGGAATAATTCGCCTCGGCACAGGATAGAGAGCGGCTGGCGTAGGCTATCACTCTTTCGATGTCCTCTTGACGCTGAACGAGCACTGCACCAAGCCCAACGTTACTAGCGTCAGTATGGACCTCCGTGTCAGCATCATCCTCGAAATGAGCGAGGACGGGTGCTGATTGCATCCGCTGTCGCAGTTCATCAAAAGCTGCTTGTTGCTCGTTTTCCCAGAAAAAACGTCCCTTGTGAGACGAGTCAGAGGTTCTGCTATCTGTGAAAAGCCATGAATGAACCGGCGATAGTAGGCGCACAAACCAAGGAAGTGCCGGACGGCTTTCTTATCGACAGGAGCTGGTAATTCGGCAACAGCAGCAAGCTTGTCTGGATCGGGCCGGACTCCTTCGCCACTAACTGCATGTACAAGAAATTTTAGTTCTTCATAGCCGAAGTGGCACTTTTGTGGCTTTAGTGTGAGGTCCGCCGATCGAATAGCCTCCAGCACGCTGCACAGGCAGTGAAGGTGCTGCTCGAACGTGGCAGAGAAGACCATTACATCATCAAGATAGACAAGACAAGTCTGCCAATTGAGCCCTGTGAGGACAGTGTCCATCATTCGCTGGAAAGTTGCCGGCACTGAACACAAGTCGAAAGGGAGTACTCGAAATTGGTATAAGCCATCTGGAGTCACGAAGGCTGTCTTCTCGCGGTCTCGCTGATCTACCTCGATTCGCCAGTACCCGCTTTTGAGATCGAGAGAAGTTAAATAATCGGCACGACGAAGTCTATCCAGCAAATCGTCGATACGCGGCAGCAGGTACACACCCTTTTTGGTCATGTTGTTAAGTTTTCAGTAATCGACGCAGAAGCGTAGCGACCCGTCCTTCTTTTTGACAAGCACGACTGGAGATGACCACGGGCTGGTGGATGGTTCGATAACGCCATCGTCAAGCATCTCGCGAACTTGCGTGAACTCGCGAAATCGCTTCACGTTCTTTAGCCGACACGCGGTAGGGGTGCTGGTGTATTGGGCGTGCGTCCTCGTACGTGATGATCCTGTGTTGAGTGATGGACGTTTGGCGGATCTTTGAGCAACTTGCGAAGCAAGACCTGTACTTGAACAAGAGCGCTCGCAGCGCAGTCTGGTTATCGGTGGACAGATCAGGATTGATGTCAATGTTGCTCATTGACGTGTCTGCGTTATTTCTACGCAGACACGTCACTATTTTTGACATGAGACAGTTGGTTACATTTGCTACTTCATGGGCAAACGCTATCGAAGTGCAGCGGAAAAGGGGTCAATGCTCGTTGCTAAAGTTGGTAACGAGCAATTCAGATCGGCCATCACAAACGTGTATTACACTTCTCGTTACACAGATGCCTTGCTGCAGGAGGTGTTCTAAATTTGTCTCGGCCACCACATCGCCATCGCTCAAACCACAGCATGTTACGTCGACTAGAACACTTGCTTGGGGAAGAAGCGTCCCACTTTGTTCAGAAATACGGAGTACGTCGAAACGCCTTCCGTCATCCTGCACGTTGATTGCTCGCTGGGCTGAGAACATGACGCGGCACACTTGCAGATCAATGACAGCTCCAATTTCCCGTAGAAAGTCAACTCCCAGAGTGACGTCATGGGAGCATTCACGTAGAACAAGACAGCTTGCCACGAATGTATACTCTTGAATCGGTACTCCAGTTGTGCAGGCGTCCAGTGGAGTAACGACATGGCCACCAGCTGTCCGAATCGGCGAGTTATGCCACAGCTTCATTACTTTCTTCAGCTGCGTTGTCAGTTTCCCGCTCAGTATGGAATAGTCTGCGCCGGTGTCCACTAACGCATTAACTACACAACCATCAATTGTCACTGCTATGTCGAGTGAAAGCCGGCTATCTTTTGCAGCAGCAGGTGATGTCGGACCAGTTTCTGTACGGTTCTGCGTCAATAGGAGGTCTTCAGCGCTTCGACGTTCAGCGACCCCGCCCCCAGAGGTTGCTTCGGCTAGTTTTCCCGGCGGGGGCTGGGAGATCGTGTGGTAGAATACCACTGGGGCATTGATGAAAATCGCCTCGGTGATGGCGAGCGCGACTGCGTGAGGCGAGCACAGACGGTGGTGCAGACGGTGGTGCAAAAAGTAGTTTTCGATGTCGCGTGGTCTCTGGCCGTGACGGGGTGGCGGCGAGTATGCAGAAAAGCCACGAAACCCAAGACGGCGATATGGGCACTGGCGGTACAAGTGATCAGCTTCTCAGCAGTGAAAACATAGAGGCCGGTGATCAGGTGTACGCCAGACATCAGACTTCCGAGGAGACGAGTGCCGATCGTCGATGTACTGGACCGGTTGCCTCGAACGATGGGCGACAGAAGCACCATGGACAAAGGGCAGGGGCAGTGGCGTGTACGTGTCTTCGTAGTATGGTATGTGCTGCGCTGACTCGAGTGAAACTGCAGGGACAGGATGAACGAACAATGGTGACGATGAAGCAGGGCGTTTCAAGGCTTCCACGTAGGTTGTTCCAGGGCGGTATTCAGCAGGAGCTGACGCAGCTGTATCAGGAGGCAAGGTGCCCCGGAGGGCCTGGTGCAGCTCATCCTTGATCACAGTTGCAATAGAGCTAACCGTAGAATGAACTGTTACACCAGCCTTTTGCAACTCTTCCCGTACGGTATTACGGATGAGTTCACGTAAGGAGTCATTGCTGGTCCCAGCGGCGGTGAAAATGTCAGCAGTGGACATGCTACTGACTTGCCTGTCGTATTGGTTTGATCACTTCTGCAGCATTTTTTCCATTGTCACAGCTTCGGACAAGAACTCCGCAACCGTCTTCGGAGGGCTTCGCACAAGGCCGGCGAAAAGCTGGTCCTTGACACCGCGCATCAAGTGACGCAACTTCTTGTCTTCCGTCATTCTTGAATCTGCCCGTCAAAAGAGGCGCGTCATGTCTTCGACGTACGTGGTCACAGTTTCATTTGGCGACTGGACACGGGCAAGAATAGCTCGTTCAGCTCTTTCTTGGTGGTCAGCGCTGGCATATGTCTGCAGAAGTCTACGAGAGAATTCGGGCCACGTCGTCAGCTGCTCCTCTCGATTTTGATACCAAGTGCGTGCCCCGTCTTCGAGATAGAAGTAGACATGACCCAGTTTCGCTGTGTCGTCCCACTGATTCAAGGTAGCTACGCGTTCAAAGTCCGCCAACCAGTCCTCAACGACCTCGCGCTCCGTACCATGGAACGTCGTTGGTGCCCGTGTGCTTTCCAACGTATAGCGCTTCGACGACGTGCTTCCCGTGCCGGTTGGCAAGGTTTGTACCGAAGTGCTGGTCATGTTTGTTGACGTGGTGGGAGCAGTATCGTCGACTTCCGGAGGCAATCCCCTGATTTAGCGGCTGGTCCGATGCACGGGAGCATTGACTGGCACTGGACTCGTATTACGGCTTCCTGGGGGGGGTCTGTAGCATTCGTGAGACTACCCAGCACCTTCCACCAATTTGTCACGATGAATCACAGGTACTGGGGGTTCATTGAACCACCAAATAGCTAGCGCTGGGACGATGGGTCAGTCGTGGCTGGCTCTCGAGTCAAGAAGAGGCACGCGATCTTCTTTCTTTCCTTCAGATGGTAGAGCCGCTCTTACAGTCGACCCACTACGTGTGGTTGACAATATTTATTCTTAATGACCTAGTGGGTATTAAGCAAGAGTGCTTGCAGTAGTTACCCAATAAGTGTTTTGAAAAGGCTCCGAAAGGCCGCTCTTCTAGCTTTCGCTATGAATGTGCTGCGCCTACAGTGCAGGCCTGGCGTTTTTTATTTTTTCAGTGATCCATACAGAAGTGAAACTCAAGAAATTGTAGCCGCATCCAGGGAAACATTCACCTTTGCACTTCAAAGTCACATTTTTTCATAGCCTGATTACACTTTGTGTGTGTGTGTGTGTGTGTATGTGCACGCGTGTGTGTGTGTTATAATTACACATTTTGCTGTGTATTTTCCCACACGTCAATGCAAATTACGTGTCAGCCTTGCATGCTTTATTATGTAGCTTTATTTCTTTCATATACACCGCAGTGTAATGGCTCGTCGCCCTTCTGCATTTTCTTTCTTTTTTTCTTTATTGTTCTCAAATGTATTGCTTTTTTGCGCATGTATTTTAAACACGTATATTAAATGTTATCTCCTCGCTACATTAATGCCTCAAGTGGGCACTTGAGGCAAATATCGTAAATAAATAAATTGTAAATTAATATATCTAAATACTGCAGCAAGTTGTCACTGGGAATTTCATAGCTGAAGCCCTCCTCTACACTGTGCCTCATAATAATATACGCAGTTGTTCTGCCACACATCTCCAGATATTACTTTCATCACCCAACAGTATTGTAACCACAAAGTTACTTCCATTAGAGCGCTCAGCAAGATTTTTGGGGAGTGTGCAGCTGACCACCAGCAATGGCATGCCAAGGAGTAGCTATCCACTTGCCTCGTGCATCTGATCAATGCGACCCGTGTAGAAGAGCAGCCGCTCGGTCAGCGTGGTCTTTCCCGAGTCGATGTGCGCCGAGATGCCAATGTTGCGAATGTGTTCCACATTCTTGTGCCGATCCTCATCCTGAACAACAACGGCGAATGAAGGACATGGTTGCAGTACTTTCGAATAGGCCTGTGCGATCCTTAGGCTCAAAAAGAATTCGAAGCAACTCGTTTCAAATAATTTGGATAGTATATATAACATATTACAAAGAAAAATGAGCGTATCTGTCATGACTCAACTAACCTGCACAACATATATATATTTTTAATTGAGACAAAACATGCGCAAATATTATTTTTGGTCCAAAGGCAATGGAAGCAACTTTAAATACTAGCAAGAATTTAATTTTAGTAGAAGGCAAGAGATAACTCGTAAAATGTGTTACATTTTTAAATTTACAAGTTTTACAGCACAAAAGCCAGTGTAACAAGTCTTTTAAACTTAAACAAGAAAAAAATCTATTCGAGAGTACAATGCTCATTCAACCTTGAAGTAGGGCTTAGTGCAGGCTTTCTCTAGAAAGTTGTATTCTCTCTAGAAAGTTGTATTCACGGTACAGCATCCTTCCACTTCAGTGAAACCTTTACAAAAGATTTCCATAGCGACATACACCTGTTTGTTCATTTTGAATATTTCGAAATTTCCAATAACTTAAATTTGAATCGAATTGTGTTCAAAAACATTATTTTCATTCGAATATTCAAAGTGATCGAATATTTGCACAAGCCTACTTACGAAGTCTCACTGTCCTTCGCTGAAAGCATCGAAAAGATGCTTTCAGACAACAATCGGATAACATTAATGACTCCTTTTTTTCTGACTAGTTTCATTTTAATTAGTTTGATCTACCATCTTGCCCCAAAAATAACTAATGAGTCATGCTCTTTTTCCAAAACCAAAACTACAGTGGTTGCAATGTGGAACAAGGAACTGTGCTTTGCAGTGACAATGCTATTTGCTTTTAAGATGCATACACTTTTATACCTATTGTTTGGTGGTTTACGACTACGCTCTAGTATAGCGGACACATAAAAGAATCAGCACTCATATTCCAGTGTTTAAATATGTGACCATTATTTTCAGCAAAATATGAGGTAAATAAAATGCTGAACAATTATTGCCAAATTGCTTAAGTGTAAGCAAAAACTGAAAACATAAAATGAGGTAAAATGTATTTTTTGTTTCTTTATTTTTTATACAGAAATAAGCAAGAGTGCTCATATTTATGCAACACTTGCTGTGCTTAATGTTCCATATAACTTGAGCTATAGAATGTTAAAGAGTGGCACATAACAGCTGCATTAAACCAACGACAGGTCAGCTGTACTGTGGCACTGCTCAGACTAATTTTTCTATTCTGCTTAAATGGTGCAGATCAAATATGAAAATAAAATATTCATAATTCACTGAGATATCCTTCAGAGATATAGAGAGTACTGGGGAACTACTGTTGCAGCCTTAGCTTTCTTCTAACCTTTACCCTAGCAGTAATCGTGATGAGAGTGCTTTGTTTCTTCGAGAAGCCGACTAGCATCAGAAGCAAGAACATGTCCCGAGTAACCAGCCTTCTAGAGGTAGTCTCCCTATTGACCACCATGATAAGGGAAGGAAGAAAGCTAAGGCTGCAGAGGTCCCTTGGATACACCAGATATTGCACGGCCTTAAGAAGCTAGGGCAGGGCGCATATGTGAAAGTTGTTTTTTCTGCGCCTGAGAAACTGGAACAACTGCGCAAGCCAATGATTTCCGCTAGAACACCCTGATTAAGCACTGGAATTTGTTGGCACCTTGTGTTGACAACGTGGTGTATATCATCCCAGTGTCGTGTGGCAGGAAATACGCCAAGCAAACTTCCAAGCTTGCCTGGACATTGCTGGAATGTGATGAGTGGCAACTCCAGGCGTTTGAGTGCGCATTTAAAGGATTGAGGGTTGCATTCCTGCTCACAATCAAACCAGAGCGATGTTTAGTAGTAAAAATACGCTGACAGGAAAAATTGCACGGATGGCTGAGATTCTTCATTTGGGGGAAGCATGAATTAGCAGGCCTGTCATCACTTTACACAAAAAGGTAGTGGATTATCTTTTCCACGCAAATGTCAATAACATTGTCATCTATTAGCGTTTATGCACAATATTTGTCTCATGTGTGCGTTTTTTTTGGTGCCGTTTTGCAATTTTCCCACCATATATAAACATCTTTTTCAAGTTAACAATCCTTAGAAGTCAGTGCCAGACCGTGTCACCTCCCTTCGTACATATGTGTTTTTTACACGATGTTAAAAAAATCTTCTTGATGATGAATAATCAACTTGCCCAAATGCCCACGTTATTCGAGCAAGGCACATTATTGCTTATCACATCTTTTCTGTGAGACGACACTGGCTATGAAGCCCCTCACTCTTCCATGATGTTTTTACTCAGTGAAATACAGTTGGGAGTACTGCAACACAATGTAGCATGATTGCAGTCTCCTGCGATTTGCGATACTATTTCAATACCTTTCTTTAGATGCCAGAAAAGGAAAGCGCCTACACATTGTGATCACAAACAGCTCTATATTACTTGCTTCAGAACATTCTCTGCAGAATATTCTCCCTTACAAATCTTAGAGCAAAAAAGCTAGTGTAAGGCATCATTTTTGGACAAGACTACATGGTTCTAAACAAAATATTAATTGCTTTCTTATTCCCAAGCTAGCTAATTAAAAAAAACATAGTGAATTACCCTACAAGTGTCACATGACTACAAAAACGTTTTGCACAGCTGCAGTAAGGCGAGTTTTTTTCTTATTTTCAGCTTTAAACAATTAAATGCTGATACAAAATTCAGACAGGGAACTATAGTTGATTCTCTATTAGCAATACTCCACACAAAAGGTTTAATTGGCCAGTACTTACTGCCTTCGTTGAGTAGCTGCCTGCCAAGACCTGGAAAAACAACAATACTGATTGCTCCACACATTAAGCAAAACAATACAAAGACAAAAAAAAAACACAACATGCCATATGTACTAGATGTATCTACACTGGTCTGGCACAACAACAAAATGATCAAAACTTATTTATTTATTTATTTATTTATTTAACAATACTGCAGGCCTTTGTACAGGTCAATACAGGAAGTGGTTCGAAAAAGTACACATGGGTATGGGAATAACAAACAAAACAAAAAAATGAATGCTTCAATAATAGATCAACAACATCACCGAAAAGAAAAATTGCAAAATGGGCATCACACATCAAGAAGCGCCATACATTTACACAAGCTCCTTCAAACATTTACTTTATGAACACACACCAAATGGCACAATATTTGTGAATGCTGTGGAGACGGACACTCTTTTTGCACATTCACAACTTGATAGCATTACTGTGAGAACTGGGTAACAGCTCATTGAATGGGACATAAAGACCGAGACAGGCGAAGCACTGTGTCCTCATTACCAGCGCTCACTAACAGCACTTGTCTATGTAGACGACATAGTATTAGTAGTCAGCAACAAAAACTTGGATGATGCTTCTTCAGCTTCAAGATTCAGATGCAGTTGGCATTGCATTCTAAATTGCTAGACCGACTTTGTTTCTTGGTGGACACCTAAACCATGCTGCAAGGATTGTTTGTGCAGTAGCAAATCAGCCCTTTTAAGCTATCTTATAATGCCTATTGCAAGTACAGTTGTGAAGTGCCCATGGGCTACTAAATAATTCTTCCTATTGCGAGTTTGCAAGGTAGCAGTTACATAATCCGCAAGGCAACATGAACACCTGCACAGCTGCACACATCGTTGATGCTATAGTAGATAAGAATAATTAATTAGGCCTGGTTGCTTACAATTAGTTGACCTCTAAACCAGCCAACTGTACGATTTAGATGTTTCGACCTCTAGTGTGATTCTATGCTTTTGCCAAGAAACAGCACTTTTGCAGCACGTAACATTCATAGTTTTTTTGTGTGTTTTTTTTTTTCGTATCAATTTTGAGCACAGAAGTGGCGATATGGTTGAACACCTGCTTGCCACGCTGAAGTGCTGGGTTCGATAGTTACTCGAATGGAAGATTTTAAAAACATTTCTTTATTTGCATCTACTTTGGATTTTCCCTCATGACCATTATTGATTTTTTGCTTACAACCAACAACACTGACAGTGAAATTTCTGCAAAATGAGTTCTTTAATACTATCATATTAAAAAAAAATGTCGCAGCCATTGATAGACATCTGCACTAAAGAGGGAGACGTATTAGATTGAAACTACTGAAAATTCAGTCATAAGAAATCGACAGTTATGATTTTTAATGACAACAAATATGGTTAGCACAGGATACAGGCAGACAAGCTGGTGGTGATTGATAAATGTTCGTGTGAGTACATTTATGCAGCGACTAAAAGTAAAAAGAATGCAGCTGTAATGAAAACCAAGACACTGTGGAATTACAACAGGTACAGGGTAGAGAGAGGAATTTAGAAAGGAATGATTGTTCCTGGTATAACGTTCAGCAATGCGGTCTTCTGCATGGGATCAGAGGTAGAAGCAAGGTAGAAAATTAAGCGATGCAATGTAGGCAGATTTGCATTGGGAGCTCACAGAAACATATCAAATCAGAGGGTACAGGTGATGTGGGATGGACATCATTTTTTGGCAAGGAAGCTGGCAGCAAGATAAAATTTGAGAAGAGATACAGAGAAACTGGGAAGAGCAGAGGGCTTGGCAAGTGTACATAAAGAGTGTCAATATAAAATGAAGGAAGTGAGCCAGAAATGTGTGAAGTAAATACTTCGACAACAAAAGGAGACCAAGCAAAAAAAAATTATTGGTTCAGAAAAAGACCTAAAAACTGAGTGGATCCAGTGAAGAGTCAGGATGCTTACAAAATTGGAAACAAAACACAGCTCCATCTTCTATCAGGAATAGCCAAAGCCGAAGAGACACTTTCTGCCGTCTGTGGATTGTGGTGGCCTTTACGAATGCTTATTTGTCTCGAATCGGAATAGCCAGCAGCCCGACATGCGACAACTGTGGCTGCGCGGAGAAATTTTCCCATCTTTTCTGCGAGTGTCCTCGCTTTAGTGCGCCAAGAAAAGAAGTGTCAAAAGTTCTAGATAGACTTGACATTCGCCAATCGCCAGAAGAAAAAATATTAGGACCAAAATCACTTGGACTTGGGGGAGGACACTGGTCGACACCGTCCTCGGCACGCAAGTCATTGAGAGCATTATTGCGCTTCTTGCGGGCAAATGGTCTTAGGGACAGACTGTAAGCAGCATCGTAGACAGTACTGTTGTCCTTCTTCCTTGTTTTTTTTTTTCTCTTTCGATGACTCTTTTCCGTCATCTTTCATTCCCTTTATTTACTTCCCCAGCACAGGGTAGCCAGCCGGTCTGAGAACTGGCTAACCTACCTGTCCTCATCAAGCAGGAAATCGCCACAGACAAAAAAAAGTACAATAACTCTTAGGGCAGCACTTTGCTGTTAGAAGCCAGGGCAGGAGTATTGCTAGTAAGGACACGTCAAGCCAAGTATGAAAGGACTGTGGTGCGTGTGGAAAGGAGGAGGAAAACAGCTGAACACCTGATGATACTTTTTTGAAAAACGCGTCACCGTATTGTCAAAGGCAATGGGGCTGAATTTTTCAAAGCACTAGGGTTTATGTAAATCATAGGAAAAGCAGACTTAAGAGGGTAGAAATAACAAAGAGGAGGTACTCTGATTCATTGCTGAAATCAAGGCAGCAATGAAACTTATTCCTTCACTACATAGAGATGGTACTTCACTATGCCCTTAAGTTGAGAACTCTCTTCACTTGTCTTTTTCCTACTCGCATGGTTCACGTGTAGCCACAGTGCTAATTTATCTATCCTTGTCTCTTTTAATGCATATGGCAGTTTCCTTGGTTTTAGATTTTTCTGTCACTGTTGCCCTTACAATGTGTTCCATTGCCTCATCCATATTCTAGCATGAATCCTTTAGAAGCTATAAACCTGTGCTCTGGACATATCTTATTGCTGAGCAAATTGAGCTGTTTCCATATTCTCTAGCTCCTTTTCTATCCTTTGTTTTACCCCTGCAAACCATTCAGCCCCCTTTCTTCTAATCTTCTCATAGATCATATGTGATGCTTTCTTCCTACAGCTTAAGAAGTTATCTCAATTCATTTTGATATCAGCTTCTGGTTGATTGATTCATTGATATGTGGGGTTTAACATCCCAAAACCATCATATGATTATGAGAGACGCCGTAGTGGAGGGCTCCAGAAACTTCGACCACCTGGGGTTCTTTAACGCGCACCCAAATCTGAGCACACGGGCCTACAATATTTCCGCCTCCATCGGAAATGCAGCCGCCGCAGCCGGGATTCGAACCCGCAACCTGCGGGTCAGCAGCAGAGTACCTTAGTCACTAGACCACCGCAGCGGGTCTATCAGCTTCTGGTTCACCCCTCTGTCTAGAATATATGTGCTCCCTCAAGGCTTCCTGAAATTTTACTATGGCCCTCTTAAACTTCTCATTCCAGCAGCTGTTTGGATTGTCTTCTTTTTGCCATCAGCTCAACTCAAACCTTAGCAAGCTCTAGCTCAAATAACTTCATTAGATTCATGCAAATCTACTACATTTTGGTGTCCTTGGAGATTTCTTTTCCAATTTGTTCTGTTGCAGTATTTCCAGTTGGTTTTCTGAGTAAAAACTGCCATCATTTGTTATTCTTCCTTTTTTCCTATTTCCATTTCTTTCGTAAAGCTCGGCCTTAAGCTTTTGTAATCACTACTTAGGCTGCTAGAGCCATATTAATTTACATACATTACCCAAAGCCTATCATAGAACCATTCACAGTCTCGATTAAAAGACATTACTTCATGTCGCTAAGATGCATCTCCACAAACCTACATACCATTAGCTCCTCCTGATTTAGCTCTCTTCTATCTCTTCCCACTACAGCATATTCCTGCCACCCTGCATGTTAACTTATATACTTTTTCACAGATGACTCCCTAGGAGCTGGCATAATCCTCTATAGACTGCGCTAAACAAGCGTGGCCCCCCAAAAAAGTGCACTGCCAAATCTGTGATGCCAACCTTTGCAACCCCACACACAGTCCAGCATGATGGCATTTTTTTCTCCTTCCTATGAAAAGGTCTATACCCTTTTTCTGGATTAACTTGTGACTGGCATAGCAACGTCATGGCCGTTCACCACAAAAGGTTCTCACTGTGTGTCCATGTAATTGTGCGGCCCTTTGGCCATTAAGCAATATTCTAAATTACTCAAGCATTACCCCAAGCAGTGAAAGCCCTACATTGATGCAAACAACTATGATGCTTATGAGCAGATGTCAACACCAACATTTTCAACAGCAGAGCTGTTTAGGCTTGCCAAAACTGATCTCGCCCCACATTGTGGGGAAGCACGTGTGCCCAGGGTTTCTTTTTCTTTTACAGCAGCGCGGAAGCCTAGTTGCAAGGACATGCCTGTCCTTTCGAGAAATGAGACACCGAAGCCTCTTTTGAAGAGATCGGTCACCGCATGGCCGGTGCACGCTATTCTCCTTTCCCGGCTTCAAGGAGAGAACCAACCCTCGTTGGGGAGAGAGAAACCGGGAGGCTGGTCAAGACGAGCGTGCCGCAGCAAGACACTCTATCTCACGCCGGCCACTAGACTGAGGACAATCCCTACATACGCCTTGCCAGCCAAGGTGATCGACGATGAAAGGCGTAAGCGTATACCCTTTGTTATCTTCTTAGAGCAGACTGTCCCACTACGCTGACATTTACACATTATTGCCAAGGAAGCAATAAAGTGTATTTTTTGTTGACCTAGCCTGTTGCCTTAATTGCCCGAACCAGAGTAGCTGGAATGACTCAAGCTACGGAAAGGGGACGTTAATCGTGCATGGTATGACTGTGTGGCTGAAACATTAGATAGATAGGCTTCTGTGTCAGCCGTACATAGCGTGGACCCTCCTTGAACACTAACTGGCTGAGCAAGGAAGAGCTTCAATAAGATAGGGGAGCCCAGCCTAGCTGTGCCAAAGTACACAAGGAAAGAGCACAGTATGGTATAGCATGAGGGTGAGAAAGTGAAGTGATGTGAAGGAGGAGGGGAGATGGCATAAGTCAGCGAAATCATTCATGAGTTGACTCACTCAGACTCAGATTGAGCCGTAAGTCTGAGTGAGTTCGGGTCAGGAATATTTTGGTGAGTCCAAGTGAGTCTGGTTAAAGAAAATTTTCATTAGTGTGAGTCCGAGTGAGTTTGCCACAAGGAAAGTTGGGTGAGTAGGAGCCCGAGTGGGTCCACACCGCAAGACATATTTCTTGAGTCAGTTCCACTTTCTTTCGACGACCTATGGTCCTATGTATATAGTCCTCAGCTTTACTATCAGCCTCACTTGGACTCACGTCTACTCACACATTTTCTGAAGCAGTGTCGTTCATACAGCATTTCAATATTTATTGATTAGAGGTGCAAATTGAGTAGGGGGGTACCTTAATTACCACCTCGTTAACTATTTCAAAGAAGTTTCTGATAAATATATCTTATGCTATCATCAAGTGTAAGAGAAACTACCTTACTGGTTTGCGAGCACTCATAACTCATATTCAAAGGTACTATATCAATCGACACCAAAAAGAGCAATGATTATGTGCGATATTGGGGTTAGAGAGCATTGACACCATGGTTGAAAAAGCTAATTCAAGGCCAACAGACTCGTGAGTCGACCTACTCGAACTCATTCAGACTCAGATTGAGCCGCGAGTCCGAGTGAATAATGTTTTGGTCAGTTTGAGTTCAAGTGAGTCCGGTTGAAGAAAACTTTTGGTGAGTGTGAGTCTCTCTCACGAACATTTTGTGAGTATGAGTCCAAGTGAGCCCAAAGCGCAAAATATATTTATATGAGTGAGTCTGAGTGAGCTCCACAAGATTTACCAACCTATGGGAGACGGTAATGAAGAGCACAGCAATGTACAGTATAGTATAGCAAAACGTAAGAAAGTGAGGTGAGGAGGAGGGAAATAAGCAGGTAACGCACAGCATAGCCATCTGTAGCATGATATAGATGGTTTTCCCATGGGCACTGCCATGTTGCTTAGCAGGCAGTGTGCTTTGCCTCTAATCTGATCACCCACTAGCTAGTGAAAATGCGCAGATACTTGCCTTCACAGGGCAATATGCACTTCCAGTCATTTTGCGCACACTGGCATGTGCACTTTAGGCCATTTACACACACCAATAAGGAGGAGAACGCTAGTTGCGAGACCACTCCTCACCCTGAGAAAACAAGTCTACAGCAAGGAAACAGAAGTGAGGGTGAGGAGATCCTGGGTGAGTTGGTACCCAAGTTCGCTAAACATGTTATCTCTGGTCCAATGCTGGAAACATGAAGAGATGACACAGAAATTAGACGTAGAGCTAACTCATCATTTCGTTTACGAGTCGAGAATTGTGGCAGAAATAACATGTTAAGCAAATTGAAGGTGAGCAGTGATGTGACAGAGTAAACCATAGCATAGCTTTGTATAGTGCAGTATTGCAAGGGTAACAGAGGGTGAGGAGGGGCGACACGAGTATGAGAATAAGAAAGGAAAGGAACAGAGAAATAGCATAGCCATGTAGCAAGGGGTGGAAATGGAAGTTCCAGTGAGGAGGAAAAGGAGGAGAGTAAAGCACGACAAGTGGCTAAGGCGGAGGCCACCGGCTCTGTCGTTTCCTCAGTCTTCGCGCCACTAGTTCGTAGCTGTTGCAGTCAATTGTTTTTTCAGAAACGTACCAGAATCGCACGGAGTATTTTCGATGCCGATTTGTTACTGTGCAAAAGCTATGAAATGGGCTGAGAATTTCGGTTCTGAAACCTCCCCAAGACTCGTGAGCACAGAGTTGATGCCGCATGTAGGTTAGCAGAGCGGGCGAGTGTAATCACAAAGTGCACTGCCGCCAACGAAAGGTACTGTACATTGTTCTCTACCTTTGTTATTGCATGTCAAGTGACAAGCTTGAACTCAGCACTTCGTCATTTGCTTCTATACTCGACCTCATTCGTGTTACATTACTCCGTCAGGTTGCGTCAAACCAGTATGCGGTGTTACTGGTCCTGCGCCCAACCAAGTTCATTCATTCTAAGGCACACAGACATGCAACAACCACTGGCATGTACTACGTGATTAAAGGTCAATGTGAATTCGCGGCGAGCGACAATATCGTCGTCTTGCGTGTACTTACATGAATACTACGCGGCACAGTTGCTCCTCACAGACCAGGAGATGCAAACAACCTCGCTTCTCGAGCGATTACGAACTTACCGGCAGCCGACTGCGCAGCCTCTGACACCGGAGCAACTCGCTGTGCATGCTCCAGCTTCCTCTCAATGCGTGTTGCACCCTCCAGATACCCATGGCGTCCTACAGCTGTTCACACTTTTGCCCAACACCAGACCAGGCGAAAGTATTCAGACGGGAACCGCTGGCCGATGAAAGCGTCGCTACAGCGCCTGGTCGCAAGCACATGGAGGTCACCATTAAAGAAAAAGCACGTGACCGGAACCGGAATAAGACATTTAGTTTCGTTTTGTCAGAAGCTTGCGCGAAACCGAAATCAACTTGCAAAAAAGATTCCGGAAAAATTTTGGAAGTCTCGGTGTGAGCACTCTCAACCTGTGTTCGTCGACTGGAGTGTAATGAAAAAGACCGTTTCAATAAAACTGAACCCGAGTACGAGGGGCTATGCGAAGGGCCAGTCCCCTACAACTTCCTTAAGCAAAATGTTGTGGCGCTGACGGATAATTTGCTTCAAACAATGTAGCACCACGTGTGTGTAGGCGCGAGTCATAGCGTGTGTGGAGGAAAGGAAGGGAGCCGTGTAGTACGTGCCTCTTCAGTCAGCTGACGCAAGTGTGTACTTACACAGACGGAGAAGGGGTTCACCTGGCGATCTATTGAAGTGACAGCAGCTGTCCACAAGGTTTTTCTGGTAGGTGTGCCGCTGATTATGGTGTCCATTTAGGGAGAATGGGTTAACGAGATGTTGCTTGTGGAAATCACTGCGCTCTGCGCCACGGGGAGATCACTGATCCTCATACAACTGTTTGCATTGCAGAAACTTCATTATTGAAAGATCAACCTGGTTTAGTAACTTGCCTGCTATATACTGGCTTTGTTCTGCACCATCTCAGAAATTCGACAGTAAGCGAACCTAGTGTGCGAGGTGCACAGTGGAAAGATAGCATGTGCTGGCACTGTGCATAAGTGTTGCTAGGTAGACACATTGGTGAACACAGTGACAGCGCACTCGGCACGAGACATGGTACTTGCACGAATTCAGTGTGATGGTAGCTAACTTGCATGAATGTATGAGAAAATTATTTATCAGGCTTAGTCAAGACTAAAAGGTCAAGTGTAGAATAATTTCTAGATCGTTATTGACTGTGCACATTCCTGTTTTAAAGCCTAGATGATACCTACCACCACACTTCTCAGAATGTTTAAATGTTTAATTAATTTAACTAAAAATAAGCATTTACCATTAATGAGGATGCTATTGTGGTGAAAGAATCATCCGATTCCTGTGGAGCCTGCTTGTGCCCACTCGCTTTTCTTAGTCAATGCCTTTTTGTTGGTTTTATAGCCATTCTTGGCAATTCCATTGCAAGTGCCCCTGTTATATGTGTCTACTTGCTGGTGTGAGGTTTACCGGTACGCCATGGGGAGTGAATCTTCTAATACAAGCACAGCACTGGCCTCTGATATGCATTGCGGGAAAAATGCAATAGAATCTAGTTCGTGTAATCTTCACCAGAACTGATAAATAAAATGCATCATTCAAAAATTGGATTATCTAAATGAACCTCCAGAAGGTACAAAATTAGCTGAATTCAGTGTCAAACCCAACAGTAAAGATTTGTGTAGTGTCACACCATTCCATGAATGCCACCTATCATGAGTGTTTCACACCTTAAGGCAAGTTTTCTTTGTTTTCATTAGTAAAGTAGCACTGCTATTCAGATCTAAGTTTACTTCAGGCCCCTAAATAGTTGGTGCCACCAAATTTGTGGCTTGTGCGTTCTTTACATTAAGTGCTTTTTGTAGATCCGGGAAGCATGATACATACACTAGGATTCATGTATTCTGGTTAAATAATTCAATATCACCTTATTTATAAAAACGACTTTCTGTTTAGGTTTCTGAGTGCCGAGTTGGGTAGTGACTTAGCAGTGTAGATGACTTTGTTGCATGATCACACAAGGCTGTTAGGCACAATTTGCTCAGTGCTGTCTGCTCTTGCACACATGTGCCACCCAAGCGCCTGTAAAAAAAAACTAATGCGCCGGCAGTTGCCATAGCTAGTTTCAGCAGCCACGAGTGATGTAGCAACCGAGGCTTTGTCTGTGCGTAGACTGCGGAGGTGAAGTAGGTCACTAAAGATCTGGTATGACGTCACTACAACTTACTTTGCCCTTTCTGAAGAGCTATATCAGTGCTGGACGCGCTTGCGATGGGCTTCGGTCGGGAGAATGAGCATTTAGGTACACTTTGAAAGTGAATTAGGATGTCTTCTAAGCATTTGCTGTTTTTGACCACTCGTGTGGCATGTCCTTGCATTCAGAGGAAACCCACAAGAGGCTTGTTTTAGGAATTAACCACACTCGATGTTCTTGCTTCATGGGCAAACAGTTGTGCTTCTAAGTATGACGACGAAGGTTTTATTATCAGACACAGTGGTTGCATTTAAACACTGGCATAGCCAAGAGAGGGGGCTGAGGCCTCTGCAAAAATTTGTCAGTTTTATATGTGTATATCTATGTGTGCACATACAAACATGCATGATTATCCATAAAGGCGGTTTGAATCCCTTCACAAAAAATTTCTGGCTACTGTACTGCATTTATATGTGGGCTAAACGCAAAAAAGACCCATGCGCTTTGATTTAGGTGCATGTTAAAAAAAAAGCCCAGGTGGTCAATATTAATTCCTAGTTCACCAACATTGCACAACTTATAATGATATTGTGGTCTTGGCAAGTGAAATCCCATCAATCATTCTTGTTTAGGTTCATCACAAATGTGTAATCGAAGCACGCAGGCATGGTTTGACCACATGTGTGAAATCAGGGCATCTTGTTCACCGATATGCAACTCTGCCTCAGTCTCACCATTTACAACACTCAAATAAGTGGCAGTGCACTTTTCCCAGGGCTGTCCTGGCAGCTATTTCTGTGTGCCACTGCTGCTGAATGCTCATGTCCACAATCATGTAGCCCATTATGCAGGCATTGTTGGAATAATGTTAAGTGATCTAGTGTACTGGAATGTAAACCTTTTTAAAGTACCAGTAAAAGCCTGTTTCTGCTGTCAAATTATCCACTTTCTAGTGAAAATGTTATCGCATTAACTGAACGGAAGTACCTTGCTCCTATGACACAGTGGACGGATGAAAGAAAAAAGTGGAGTACTGTTACAAAAAGTTTATTGTGAAAGATTATATCAATGATGTTCCATTGTATATTGTCTGTTTAGAATCGCAGTGAATGCTATAAATTTATGAAATGCCAGTCTGTATTACTATTCGTGGCTGGCTCTTTTTTTTTTTTCTCCTGTCCTGGAGGCTTTTGACAGTCCTATACCCATTTCCGTGTAAAGGTACCCACAAGCTGTTTAATGTGAGATCTTTTTTCCCCAGCATTTTTAATTGCTTGTTTATCACGGAACCTTAGTGGTTGCATGCCTGACACAAGAAGTAGCCAAAAAAAAAAAAAAGACATTGTCACGTGCAGCAGCATGTTCTCAGTACTTCTTTACAGTGTAAGCTGTTATCAGCTCACTGCAGTCAGCTTTGGTAGTGATGTCTGCCAATCGCGAGGAGGCAGGGATGAGTTGAATCATATTACTAGCACGTAAAATGGACCGTTCAGTCGCAGTCTTGCCACCTCAGTTGCGCTGGCTGCTGTCAAGTGTTCTTGACTGTGTTGGAGCCAGCATGGGAGAGAGCTTCCATCTCTCAGTGCATTGACTCGTCTGCAACACTGCATGGCCCTTTCAAAGTCCTTTCCCTTGAAAACAATGTGCAGCTGATCGTAGTTGTGTAAATGTCAAGCCACTGCTTTACTGACTCCGTGCCTGCATAGAGTGGCCTGAAACTGTTCTTCACATGCAGCTACAAGGCCACACTTCCAGCTTATACTGTGACTCTGTTGCATGTTTCATGCAGACCTGGCATTTTGTAAAAGGAGAAGTGGATGTAATTATGGCAACATTGCAAAAAAATATGTTCTGATGCTGGTCATGTGTCGGAAAAAGGAATGTTGAAATTATGTTGGTGTGTGGTGAATAAGCACTATAGGGTGTGTATCCATGATTTCGTTATTTAAGAAAGGGAAAGAAAACGACTACCCACTGTAGCATGAAGCCACAAGGAAATTCGTATGGATTTTCTGAGAAAGAAAAGCTTTTTAGTTACTGAAAAATTCGTCCTGGTCCGGGGTTAAAACCCGGGACCAATGACTTTGCACGGCTGTCTCTCTATCAATCGACCTAACCAGGTGTACTAATTAAGTTAAATCTGTAGGGATTTTCTTGTGGCTTGGTGCTACAATGAATGGTTGTCTTCTTTCCCTTTTTAACATTTCCACCACCTTGTGGGTTTCTGCAGAACTAATATGCATTAGCTGATTTAGTTATTTATTGACTATGAATTTATTGACTAAATGAATGAACCTTTAAAAAACTCTAAGAGATTGACATGGCCACCCTCGGTATGCTTGCACGTTAGCGCTATCGGCTGATGCACAGCCACAATTGAAAGCACTTGTGTCATAAGGCACTTAAAAAAAAAATTGTATTATCTATGTACTTGTGAAAAATGATGATGACTAAGCTGAGTGTAACACTACTTGGACTTATACAGTTGCTATGCTTATAGAGTTGCCACTTTACTACAAGAAAAAAGATATAACTCTTTGGAGGGAAGGGGGAAGTAGGGGTGCACATATACAAGGAGTTAATTGTGGAATATTTTACAGCGCAACGGGTTAGATACGGACAGAGAAAGGACACAGTGCTGAACTCACCCAAGTAACAAACAGGTCTGCTTCAGCATACAAGTAGTTAAATTTATCCTGGAAAAAACTGTCACCATTTTCATTCTTTGACATGCATTGTCTTGTATTATGACATTGTCTAGCCAGAAGGTAACGTAATGTATATGGACAAAAAAAAAAAAGAGAGAGACAGCAGAGGTAACCAGCATCTTGACATAAAAATTAATGCCATGTGCATATATGCCATCCATTTGGAACGTAAGGTCCCAGACCCAGGAGCCAGCCCCCATTCACAAGTTTAGGTCTCTTGTCTTTCAGAAAATAGTTTTGTAGTAATTTTTGAAGTTTCAAAGATTGAAAGTTTACGCTCAGTTATGCAAGCATGTTGTTGCTGTGATTGATTGTTCTCTGTATAATTAGTGTAGCTAGAAGGATTAATTACTTCGCGTTTTTCTGGGCTCAAGTTGTGAATTCATTGAAGGTTGGGTGAGAGTTTTGGTGACGGATGAAAAATATTCAAGATCTTTGAAGTGGCTGAATTTACTCCCATGAAATGCAAAAAAAAAGTGATACTATGGCTCGAAGTATGGCCAATGATGACCAGCTAGGTGCGCACCAGCAGCCAGCCGACTGTTTAAAAAATTGGTCGGGCCAGTCTAAAGCTGGGCAGGTGGCAACTTCATGTGTTGAACAAGTTTGTTGACATTGAAGCCTGTATTGCAGGGTGGCATCATGTTCAGGTCCATATTTGGTCGTAAAGCAACTCCTTCAGAGCAGCCTGCATTACTCCAGGAGAGCCAGCAGGGTGACTTTGTTGTCTTCGAAAGCCCAGCTGTTTGTGAGCCGCCTCAGGCTGGTGTGGATCCTCTTGTTAGTATACATTCTCTACATTTATTTATCATGTTCTGTTTATGAAATACTGCATGCATGCTTTGAGCCAATACATAGAAAAATGCTGATAGTGTTTGTTCAGGCTGATGTGAATGGCTTTGTAAATGGAGTACAATAGAGAGCGGGCGCCTCCAAAGCAGCATTTGAATTTTATTCGCTTGCCGCCGATCGGCCAGTGCCTGAGAATAGGGCTAACAGGGTCAACCTTGAGAGGATATATGTTACCACGTTGCATGCATTGAGAAGCAGTCACATAGTTCCCTTATCTTCACCATGCCAAACGCGCGATTCGGCAAAAGAAAACAGCATTGTCCTAAGACTATCGCAGTGTGTCGTAATGCATGGCACCACCATGGTGGAAGGATGGCAACGTATTGTTCTGTCACTTCCCGGAGAATGCAGATGACAGCGCAATGGAGAACAGTGCAAATCAGTGACTTATGCATAGGAAAAAAGGTGACGGACACTATGGTAGTTCGTTCTAATTAATTCACTCACGACGACTTAGTTTTGCTCGGTGAGAACTATACACCGTTATTTAACTTGTTTGCATTCTTATCAATATTCAGGCTTCTCTAAGCCTGGAAGCCAAGCTCCTGTCACCTAGATTCAAGATCACTTACAAAAAAGAAGGTCCAGAGACCTTGGCCGACAGTCTTGTATATGTGCATGGCCAAGAAAGCTCTCTTGTGCTTCTTGAGGGACGCCGGACTTCATGAGGGCTTGTGAACGAACATTGCGAGAACATGCTGTGTGGTCTCAAGTTGACTATTTTTCCATCGCTTTCTTGCCCTTCTTTTTTCTTTATCTCTTTCCTTTTCATTGTTCCCCCTTCTCCTCACTCCACTCTAAGTGAAGGGTAGCCAACCTAGGTAAAGCTTGGTTAGCTTCTCTGGCTTTCCTCTCCATTTCTCTTTGTTGCATTATGTACGTAAGTGTATTTTTTGCATATGCTTGTTTTTCTGTGCAAGACGTAAAGCTGTCTATCTATCAAATTTTTGATCATTTTGATTTCCCCCCCCCCCCCCCTTCAAGGTCGTCAATGCTGCACCACTGAAACGAATGGCGAGGTGCAGCACCTCGTGAACTGGTACATGTGGTGCAGGCGAATCGAACGGACCTTATGGTTGCACACCCAGTGCAACCATTTTCGCTATTTCACCAGTGAAACCCTTTATGCTGATGAGGATGAAACGGTCCGTGGCCAGCACCTGTTCGGCTTTGACTAAGCAATGCAATCCAACGCCACAATTGAGAAACTTACAGCACGGCGCCAAGCGAAAGTGCCGCGTTTACCCTGTTAAGTGTAACAATCTTTGTTTTTTCGACCAGTGTTGCCCGTATCCGGAGCGTCTTATTGAGTAACAAATTGCCAGCAAATTTATGCATTTTGAGGAAAAATGTTTCATCACAGAATTTCAGCAGATAGGAAACTTACAAATGATTAACATGTGGTCAAGAGCAGAAGCTATAATTAAAATTTTAACTTAAGCTTTTTAGAAAGTAGCTATATGGCCTCTGCATGTTGTCACATGTCAGCTGTCACAACATCAACAATCAACCTCACTGAAACATTAATTTGTATGAAAGGTGTACTTTTCAGAAATGCACAACCTGTGGCACATCCTCCTCTTTTGAATGAAGATAAAATTGTGTGTATGTTCCTGATTATTTTGTTGTATGATTATGTCAAAGAAACAAGAATAGGTGCCCTTAACAGGCTGGCCTACATTTTGATAGAGAGACCCATCCTTGTCACACGCCAGCCTCTTTCTTTTGAGGGCACATTATAGAGAATACGCTTTCTTTTGAGGGCACATTATAGAGAATACATACCTGTCTGACATTTTACAGCTTATTTTAAGAGCAGTGCATGAATGTCGGCAGGGTTTATTTGGGGGAGGGGGGTATGCTAGTCTAGCTTGTTGGAGAGGGGGCGTGCAGGTGTTCGTGTGGCTTGAGGAGGGCAAGCCACTCTTCCAACCCCCAGCCGACACCCATGGAGCCATGTATAGCGGCTTCGTCTATATTTATGTCAAGTGCTAGTGCAGCAGTATACCTGCTTTGTGCGTAAATTACTCAGAGTTCTCTTAACTCCTGTTACTTTTGCCAGGTGAACATGGAAACTCAGCGGTCTCCACCACCTACAAGCAAGCCACATGGTATTGATGGTGTGCCCTTTCAATTGAATGCTTGCCTGACCCAGTCTGGCAGCAGTGCTGGGGATGTGGATGCACTGCTTCGCAGGTTGCGCAGCATGGGTGACTTTTCCTGGACCGAGTATGACTACAGTGTTGAAAAACGCATACAGCGAGATTATGCCTAAAGATTGATGCCGAGTGCATAGTGCCGCCAACGACAGCGAGTCATGCACCTTAGGCATTCGTGATTTACAGAACTCACTCTGTTTTCTTGAATATGCTACCGTGTGATAAGCAGTGGCTTCCCATTGAAACAGTCAGCTGAGAATACTGCTCTTCTGCTTGCAAGCACATTCTGTTTCGAGACGATGTTTGGGCAAGGTTTAGATGACACAGTTGCATTACACAGTAGTACTGTTTTCAGCACAATGTACTAGCTGTCTTTGGAATCTGACATCTAGTGTACATCATAGTCGTCCGTCGATGGCACAAGGTACTATAGAGCTTAACGTTTTATTCACTTGTGGAACAGGACACTTTTGCAGTGGAGACTGAGTATGGGTACCACGCGAATCAGTTAATGCAAATGACTAGTAATTGGATCATCTACCTATTTTTATGCATAGGCACTGCATGATAGTGGTTTATTTATGTAATAAATGTTTTAGAAAGACTGCATAACAAGAGCGCATGACAATATGACAAATAATTTCATGACAAATGACTGCATGGCTATATCCTTCAGATGTTCGAGACAGTAAACAATGTGGACGTAAAGAAAAACCAAAGTGCAACAGCCCTAGGTCTGCCGGTAGGCAGACCTAGGGCTGCCTGTCCGTATGCCTGCCTGCAAACCGCATGCAGGCAAGCAAGTAGATTGCCGACAGCGCAATTGGATGCACCGGGAAAATTCCCAAAATCACTCTCTGGCACAACCTAAAGCTGCCTGAAATGCATAAAATGCAATTTCATGTTATACATGTTTGTTATTAAGCAAAATGAATCTATGAGCGGGGATTTCTTGTCCTACCAGCGGTATATGAACCACATTATTGTTGGGTGACACTAATGGTCAATCTTTGTTGACTTTCAACATCAGATTAAAATTATAATTCCTTTTCTATGCAACAAAAGCATGATCATTGCCAACATAGTGATAAACGATCTTCTCATTTTCAGCTAAATCAGAAAAATGTTTCTGAGTGGTAGACAGTCTCTTTAAGGCTAAAGCCTGAACTACCTCATCAAACATTGAAGTTAACCCTGGCGTCCCACGTGAACAAGTAAAGGTTTACGTTCTGTAAAGACCCGAACATGCGCAGATTCCATCTGGTAACACGGTAACGTAAATAAGTATATATACAAACTAAAAGCCCCTAATTGCGGTCACGATGAGACTGAAGTCGTTGCAGGCACAGAACGTGCCGGCGCTGCGCCATTGTGCACGTAAAGTTGGCTTTGCCGTGTAAAATTGAACATTTGACGTCACTGCACCACGTGAAAGCGCTCGCAGAATAGCGGCGTGAGCGGAGAAGGAAAAGGTATGCGCAACTCTGCTACCTAACGGTAGCTACATATACAGTAACACTATATGTAACATTATATACATGTAAAGCCCCTAAAACCTATGCCTAAAACTTCTTAAAGTAGCCACGTGCCTGGATATTAACGCGCCTCTCTTTTCTTCCTCCGACTTCTCTTAGGCCGGCGCCGCGTCGTGCCATCTTTTCTCTGGAGGCGCGGACTTTTTGGGGCGCAGCGTATCTGTTTTGACCTATGCGAACTTGTCCTCCCGTGCGCGCTGTGCTGTGAAATAGTTTTCATCCAAGAATGACGTCGCTGTTAGTTGCAGTGAGTGGTTGTTGCGCCTTCTGCTGCCAGAACAAGTCTAGTGATGGCCGAAAGCTCTTTATGATACCGCCCGTTGAGCGCGACAAAAGGCATGATTACGTAGAATCGGAAATAAGAACTTCAAGCCGGCATTTTCGAATCCAATTTGCGGAGTAAGTTGCGCGTGTCTCATTATGAGAATGGTTCGATGTTTGCTCAATTCAATGCCTACTCCAACGCCGTCGATAAGTCGCAGTTAATTGTGCAGAACGTTACGATCTCTCACTCGGGTTTCATTTACGCTTCTGCGAGGGCTTTTTTTTTTTGTCAACAATACATGCTTACATGTTCTGCTTGTCATTATGCGCCGACTGGTTTGAATTCGCGGTACTGGTTTGTGCACTTAGAATGTACGTGGAGGACGCTCGAAATTGTTATTGCGGAACTTCAGAGATTTCGCGTTGCTGTTTGAAATAAACAAAACTGGAGTGCAGCAACTGACATTAAGATTGGTTCCCTTCGTTGTATTTTGTTGCACGCTCGTATGTTTCAGAGCGAATTGCTCTCTGTGGTTCTTTTACGTTTACCGATCAGCCGGGGGACCCGCAATGCAAGGGCATGCTGCAACGCAAAGCCTGCATGCCTTCGAGTCATTGGGTGCGTGCATCGTTTAGGGACCTCGCACATACGTGTAACTTCGCGTGATAGTTTAGTTGATATTTCGTGTGAAGGTTTATATCCGCGAGCGGAGCTCTCGCGAAGTAATTGCGTATGGTGACACGCTAGTTTATTCATAAGCTAGCTCATTCTTTCAGCAGTATGGTTCGTATGTGAGATACGTCCTTAAGGCGCACTTATGAAATATGATTGGTGCGTCTAAACACTTCACGAAACAACCACAGCTGTTCGAGTGTACCAACTTTGCCCCTTCTGACACATTATTAAGGCTGTAGATGTCTCACCAAACGGTTAAATTGGCCACCGGCGACATCGCCGTCCCGCGTCGACAGCATCAATGCGAGTTGTTGCTTTCACTGCATGACAGTCGTTGTTAATGCTCTGTGCACATATTGCCTACCCTATATACGGAAAATCTTGCACCACCCATGCCCTGAGTAAGGAAAGAGTCGCACTGTCCCATCGGGTGCCATCGCGCTAGTTAACAGAAAAGTAAGCCATAGTAGCCGCGCATGAATGCTTCAGCGATGTTATTTACAGCGTAAAACTTATTCGGAGACGTCCTAAAGTATGGGGGAAAAAAACCGGGGTTCTCACTAACGATCACAATTTTACGTTTAAGAACATACACAGGGTAATGCGCACAAAGTTAACATCTGGTCATGGCGACACCGAGTAACTCGATCAAGGCATGGTCACTAGTTCGCGTGGCACTAAACAGAGCTTTTGTGGGCTGACGTTACACTCGTTAAGATAATTTTAGGGTCAGTTAGACGGCTGGCGCGAAATCGAAGGGCTTTAGCACGAGCGCCGCCTGCCGAGCAAGCGCTCTCGTCGCGAAAGGGCATCTGCTACGCAGGAACAATGTAGGTGGCGCCATGTTCGAAACGAAAGTGCGAAGGAGGGGAAAGCGAGGATAAACGAGAGTGGAGGAGGAGAGTGTCGCTACTTTAAGAAGTTCTAGGGGCTTTACACTTATGACATCAGTTGACACCCCACCAGATGACACCCCACCAGTAATGATAGAAGAATTCAGAAAAGCTTTGGAGAGTATGCAAAGAGGCAAAGCTGCTGGTGAGGATCAGGTAACATCAGATCTGCTGAAAGATGGAGGACAGATTGTGTTAAAAGGATCAGGTAACATCAGATCTGCTGAAAGATGGAGGACAGATTGTGTTAAAAAAACTAGCCACCCTGTTTACGAGATGTCTCCTGATGGGAAGAGTACCATAGTCTTGGAAGAATGCTAACATCATCTTAATACATAAGAAAGGAGATGACAAGGACTTGAAGAATTACAGGCCGATCAGCTTGCTCTCTGTAGTATACAAGCTATTTACAAAGGTAATCGCTAACAGAGTAAAGAAAACATTAGAATTCAATCAACCAAAGGAACAAGCAGGATTTCGAACGGGCTACTCAACAATCAACAACATTCATACTATCAATCAGGTAATAGAGAAATGCTCAGAATATAACCAACCACTATACATAGCCTTCATAGATTACGAGAAGGCGTTTGATTCAGTAGAAATATCAGCCGTCATGCAGACACTGCGGAATCAGAGCGTCGATGAATTATACATAAACATCCTGGAAGAAATCTACAGGGAATCAACCGCCACCATAGTGCTTCATAAAGAAAGCAACAGAATACCAATCAGAAAGGGTGTAAGGCAGGGGGGAGACAATCTCGCAATGCTATTTACCGCGTGCTTACAGGAGGTTTTCAAAAGCCTAGAATGGGAACAGTTAGGGATAAGAGTTAATGGAGAGTACCTTAGTAACCTGCGCTTCGCCGATGAGATTGCATTGCTGAGTAACTCGGGGGACGAATTGCAACTCACGATTACGAGACAAGGAGAGCAGAAAGGGGGGTCTTAAAATTAATCTTCTGAAAATGAAAGTAATGTACAACAACCTCGGAAGAGAGCAGCGCTTCGGGATAGGTAATAGTTCACTTCAAGTTGTTAAAGACTATGTCTACTTAGGACAGGTAATAACCGCGGAGCCGAACCACGAGATTGAAGTAACTAGAAGAAAAAGAATGGGGTGGAGCACATTTGGCAAGCACTCTCAAATTATGACAGGTAGATTGCCACTATTCCTCAAGAGGAAGGTATATAACAGCTGTATCTTGCCGGTACTTAGCTACGGAGCAGAAACCTGGAGACTTGCAAAGAGGGTTCAGCTTAAATTGAGGACGACGCAGCGAGCAATGGAAAGAAAAATGGTAGGTGTAATCTTAAGAGACAAGAAGAGAACAGAGTGGATTAGGGAACAAACGGGGGTTAAGGATACCATAGTTGAAATCAAGAAGAGAAAATGGACATGGGCCAGGCATGTAGCGCGTAGACAGGACAACCGCTGGTCATTAAGGGTAACCAACTGGATTCCCAGAGTAGGCAAGCGAGTTAGGGGGAGACAGAAGGTTATGTGGGCAGATGAGATTAAAAAGTTTGCGGGTATAAATTGGCGGCAGCAAGCACATGACCGGGTTAACTGGCGGAGCATGGGAGAGGCATTTGTCCTGCAGTGGACGTAGTCAGGCTGATGATGATGACGTCAGTTCGAGGATGCGCGCGCTTCGCTGAGCGCGGCGCTGTACATAGAAACCACCGTCTTTGTAAAACTCGGAAAAGAGGCACTTCAATTGGTTATTTTGGCTACCGACGCTGTTCTTACCGTGTGTGTCCGCTTTTAACGCTCATTTTAAAAGCACAGTGCTTTGTTTCTTAAAACTGCTGCTGCTTGTATCCGCGACAAGTGCTGCGCATTGATGGAGTACTGCTTTGTGCCTTTATATGATCACTCACCCGTGAAAAGGCTCTTAGCCTTCACAACTATTCTAACTACCTGAAGCTAAGGAAGAAGTGCATAGTTTAACTCAGAGAGGGCAAGCACCCCACGTCTTCACCGACCGTGTGCGGCAAGCACTTCGCTCACAGTGACTTTTGCTACACCCGCCCTTGTTGTGACTGGCGCCCGAGCTGATAAGGAAGCGGCGCTCTTTGGATCTTCAAACAAGTAGCCGACAGGCCAGCTGCATATGACCGCCAGGCATTGTCCCTCCTAGCCGGAGGGTGAGACGTCGTGTCGTCACGACGCCATAAGCCGTTGGAGAGAGGACAACAACTACAGCATATTCCTTGGAAGCGACCGCGCGGCCGCCGTCAACCGGCCTGCTAATTAAGCGAGCAGTTCGGCGGACCCTTTGAAGTATGCTGTCTTGAGCTTGGCACCCCTTGACCAGCGGCACACACACGACGAGGAAGAGCCCTGCTGGCGCCACCTTGGACAGCATATCACGCCTCGATATTGGACGTTCACGTGAGCCGTGCATGCTCGTCCTCTCACCAGTTGTGTGTGATTTGCGATTGGACAGTAACCTATGCACGTGTTCCCTGATCTAGGGATCTGGACAGCCCATACCCTTTATAATGAGCCACCCGGCTCATTCAAAGGAGCGCCATGTAAGAAAGAGCTCGTCATGTACGAGAGCTCACCTTGTATATTATGTAAATAAACCCTCTTCAAGTCTCTCTTCCTCCTTCCTCGACAACTTCATCCCGGACCTCCGGTGCCTGCAAACCCCTGTTGCAACACCCTACGCTCCACTTTTCGGTAAACTTGCAACCGTGTTTCAGCTTCTCGCCCGTACTACGGCCGTTCATTTAACGCAGGCTACAGGCGTACGTAGGCGACTTACACAAGGTGAGGTGCCGTTACAAAACCTACCGCGAAGGCCCCTAGACAGGGAGCCGACGACGCTGACTCCGAATCGCCTCGTCGGGTAAGCGCACCTCGTGAGCGCAGCTAAGCAGCACAGGATGCCTGAGAATGAGAAAACAGCCTTAATTGGTTTATATATATATATATATATATATATATATATATATATAGTCGAGCCCACATAGAACGGCCCCACTTAAAACAAACTTTCGCTTAAAACGAACAATATACGCGTGACCGTCAAAATATACATTGGTTCAATGGCACAAAATCGCACTTACAACGAACGTCTCCGAGCGCCGCTGATCGGTTACAGCGAACGGAGTCGGTGGTGTGCCGACTTTCTCGGAAACCAATTTCGACCACCGGTCAGGCATCCGCGAAGTGCCCATACATTCTTATTAGGGAGTTTTAGTGCTGGGTACGCATTCTCTTGGGGCGCTGCGGGCTTGGGAGCGCGCGGCGTTGCGTGCACAACCCATACCCAACCGGAATGCCTTTTAGTTGGCGCCACGGTGGCACGCCCGCAAACGCAAGCCGCACGAAGTCCACACGCGCTCGCAGAGCCATAGCGTCTTGTCGCGTAAGTATTAGTTAAGTATTTTTACGATTTCAAATGTTAAATTAAACATACATAGTGATCAGGACACATTCTTGATTGTGCTCAGTAATCTGGTATATGCAAAAAAGTGAAAAATACAAGGTTACTGTAACGACAGTGTCGACATCTTGTGACACTTCGTGCAACCGCAGTCGTGAACATGTTAGCTTACGCGTAATGTTTTTGAGGTGAAAATGAATAAAAAGGTTACTCATTTGTAATATTGTCGCTGCGCAGTTTTTGCACCAGATGTACAATGCACAATGTTTCTGCAATAACAAAGTTGTGGTTGTCTGTTTCGCTATGGCCGCGCTAGATGGCGCCACCTATTCAGTTGATCGGGGGCTGGCATATGCTTTTCAGTTTCTATGTTCCATGCCATTCTAGCTTTGAAAATCTGGCTGAAGCCGTGTAATCGCTATAAGTGCTCGCACTTTGGCTTATTTTAACTCGACGGCTAGAGTATCCGCAGTGCGGATAAC